GGTGGGCTCTCTGTGTGTGTGTGTGTGTTTGACTGATGCAGGCGTTTCTGCTGCAAATGAACCGAATCAGACCATCATCTCCTGAACCGCATCACACACAAACATAGGATTTTGCTTTGTTTTGTAAGATGGACCCAGAAAAACTTTTACTATGTCATTTACATTTAAAGAATCTTCTTATAGAATACATATAGAATTCAGTTTTTTTTTCTAAGCTGAATTTTATAAAATGTTTATATTTATTATGTTGAATGATGAATCTGTATCTGCCAAGTAGGCATGTGACGGTATCAAATTTTCATGTTGCGATTAATTGCTAATGCTTGTAGCACTATATACCGTATTATCACGATACTGAAATTTAATTGCAAAAAAGTGTTGCCATAGTAAAGTATAACAGGTTTAATAACGTTTTTCTTATAACAAAAAGAAACTGAACATTTAAATACAATAAATTAGTGAATACATTAAATATTTCATACATTAATATTTAAATACAATAAATATAATTAAAATAATTTCACACAGATTAAAGTGCAAAAGAATGATAAATACCAATAGGTAACACTTTACAATAAGATCTCATGAGTTAACCTTAGTTAATGCACTAACATTAACATTGAGCAATAGCTACATTTGCTACAGACGTTATTAATCTTTGTTAAAAAATACAACTGTTAGTTCATGTTAGCTCAGGTTCATTAAATAACACAGTAGCAGCAACTTTTGATTATAACAACGTGTTATTAAATATTGAAATTAACGAAGATTAATGAATTTTTCATTGGTAGTTTGTTAACTAATGCGTTAACTAATGGAGCCTTAATGTAAAGTGTGACTGAACAATAAAGAATCAAAACACTTTCAAACAATATCTAGGGCATGTTGTAGTCCGGATTAAAGTTTGAAAATAAATGGCCTATTAAGTCTAAATATTTCAGTATTTGTCGCTGTGATGAGCACCATAGCGATACACAAATCTGAATGGCTGTTTAAATAATTTAAATAGGTTTCAGAAAGTAGCACTGCAGCTGCTTTGTTTCCGGGGTAACGGCTGCATTTCTGCTGTTCAGCGCCACCTGCTGTCAGAGAGTGAATGAGCACTTTATTCAGCAGGTTAAACACGTTCAGTTGTTCAAACATTTACTGCAGTTTGAGGAGAAACACTTTATCAAAGTCTAAACTGTACATCTCGTGTGTGTGTGTGTGTGTGTGTGTGTGTTCACAGGCACGAACACGTCGGCCTTCGATCAGCTGGTCCTGACGTTGGCGTGGGATCGAGTGGACATCGCTAAAGATCACGTGTTTGTTTACGGACAACAGCTGCTGGTTCGTACCTGTGTGTGTTTGTGTGCCGATAAACACTGAGAGAAACAGTTGTGTAGTGAACACACACACACACACACACTCACTGTGACCTACTGACCTCTCACCACATTCTGATAAACTAACAAGAACAATGTTACTTTCACATGTATCATGTTAGTACTGTCGTATTCTGTAAACTGTAAAGTAACAAACATCAAGTAAATGTGACAATTTTATGTGTGTATATATACACAGTGGTGTGAAAAAGTGTTGGCCCCTTCCTGATTTCTATAGATGAGTGGACCAGAATTCCTCCACAGCGCTGTAACAGACTCATTGCAAGTTATCGCAAACGCTTGATTGCAGTTGTTGCTGCTAAGGGTGGCCCAACCAGTTATTAGGTTTAGGGGGCAAACACTTTTTCACACCACTGTGTGTATATATATATCTATATCATCATTGCACAATATTAGAATATAATATAATTGGTAACACTTTATTTTAAGATGACAGTTAGATGTTACATGTACTTACTTTAGTAATGACAGTGAATTATGCATAATTAAAAGTAACCCTATAGTAGGCACATGTAGTTAATTAATATTACTCAGTACTTATTTGTGTAATTATGCTAACAACATCACTTTAGTGTATAGTGTAATAGTGTAACCATATAGTTTATATAATTTGGCTGGTTCCAAAAATTAAACTAAAGACAACAAACAAAAGTGAAGCAAAAGAGACTCATGTTCAGTTTAGTTCACCCAGAAATCATTTACTCTCCCTCATGTTGTTCCAAACTTGTATGACTTACTTTCTTCTGTGAAACACAAAAGTAGATATTTTGAAGAATGTTGGGAAACAAACAGCATTGGGCACTAACTGTATGGACAAAAAGACAGAGACATTCTTCAAAATATCCACTTTTGTTATGTTTGGGTGAACTGTCTCTTTAAGTTTAGGTGCAATGTGAACGAAAGTTCTGGGCTCTGAGTTTAACACTCAGTGTCAAAGTCATGTGAATGTATTAAAGTCTGTGTGTGTGTGTGTGTGTGTGTGTGTGTGTGTGTGTGTGTAGGTGGGTTCCCTCGAGCAGGCGATGTTGGATGCGTTGGTGATGGACCGTGTGGAGTTCGTTAAGCTCCTGATCGAGAATGGCGTCAGCATGCACCGCTTCCTCACAATCACACGTCTGGAGGAGCTGTACAACACGGTACACACACACACTTATACACACACACACACACACACACACACACACAGGTTTGTTTTTGTGAAAAGTGGGGACATCCCATAGGCGTGCGTAATGGTTTTTCTACTGTACAGACTGTATATTCTATTGCCCTACACCAACCCTACCCCTAAACCTACCTCTCACACTCTCTCTCACACACACACACACACACACACACACACTAATACTCTCTCTCACACACACACACACACTTATACGCACACACACACACACACACGTGCTGCTCCTCTTATGCGGAGTCTAAACTGACCTTGATTGTAAATCTGAACATTTCTATTCTCACAGAAACAAACTCCAACCAATCCGACGCTCTATCACCTGGTGAGGGACGTCAAACAGGTAAAGCTGTTCAGCTGATGCACGTGTGTCTGACGCCAAACTGCAGTCGTCTGAGATTTCTTTCCTTGTGTTTTTTTGCTAGGGTAACCTCCCGCCCAACTATAAGATCACGCTGATCGACGTGGGACTGGTGATCGAGTATCTGATGGGAGGAACGTACAGGTGCAACTACACGCGCAAACGCTTCCGCATCATCTACAACAATCTGCACGGGAACAGCCGGGTAAACGAGCGCTAACAGTGTTTATATCAGCCGAAATATGTACTAAAACTAAAATATTTACTTGAAGATTTTGAGTTTTTAAGTTAATATTTCAATTATTTAACAACACATTTGCATGTTCACGGTTCTCTGGTGCCAGTTAATGGTCACATGACATGCAGATAAAAAACAAATGATATATTTTTTTACTTTTTCTTTAATATTTTAATATCTTTTCAGTGTTTATTTTTAAAACAATTTCTGCATTTTAATTTTCATTATTATTATTGTTTAATTATTAGTCATATCAGAATGAAAGATCTAATGCTTTGTCTCTCTGTGTCTGTCTGTCTGTCTGTCTGTCCATCCATCTGTCTGTCGTTCTGTCTGTCTGTCTGTTGTGTCTGTCTGTCTTGTCCATCTGTTGTTCTGTCTGTGTGTCTGTTGTTCTGTCTGTCTGTCCATCTGTCTCTCTGTTCTGTCCATCTATCTGTCTGTTGTTCTGTCTGTGTGTCTGTTGTTCTGTCTGTCTGTCCATCTGTCTCTCTGTTCTGTCCATCTATCTGTCTGTTGTTCTGTCTGTGTGTCTGTTGTTCTGTCCATCTGTCTGTCTGTCTTGTCCATCTGTTGTTCTGTCTGTGTGTCTGTTGTTCTGTCCATCTATCTGTCTTGTTCTGTCTGTGTGTCTGTTGTTTTGTCCATCTGTCTGTCTGTTGTTCTGTCTGTCTGTCTGTCTGTCTGTTGTTCTGTCCATCTGTCTGTCTGTCTTGTCCATCTGTTGTTCTGTCTGTGTGTCTGTTGTTCTGTCTGTCTGTTGTTCTGTCCATCTATCTGTCTGTTGTTCTATCTGTCTCTCCATCTGTCTGTCTTTCTGTCCGTCTGTTGTTCTGTCCATCTATCTGTTGTTCTGTCTGTGTGTCTGTTGTTCTGTCTGTCTGTCTTTCTGTCCGTCTGTTGTCCTGTCTGTCTGTTCTGTCCGTCTATCTGTCTGTCTGTTGTTCTGTCTCTGTGTATGTTGTTCTGTCCGTCTGTGTGTCTGTTGTTCTGTCTGTCTGTCTGTTGTTCTGTCCATCTATCTGTCTGTCTGTCCGTTGTTCTGTCTGTCTGTCTGTCCGTCTGTTGTTCTGTC